TAACCTACACACCTTATATGGGCAGTTCTTGGACATGAATCCCTCAGGTTACATCATATACACCTCCTTCTCGAGGTTCCCGTTGAGGAATGTGGTTTTCACATCCATCTGCAAGATCTCATAATCATAGTGTGCTGCAATAGCCAATAGAATTCTGATGGATTTTAGCATTGCTACGGGTGAGAAGGTTTCGTCGTAGTCAACACCTTGCCTTTGACGATACCCCTTAGCCACTAGCCTTGCTTTATAGGTCTCTACCTTTCCATCTACTCCGATCTTTTTCTTAAAGATCCACTTGCAACCGATGGGTACAATACCTTCGAGCGTATCAACTAGGTTCCAAACCTTGTTGGAGTACATAGAATCCATCTCAGAATTCATGGCTTCTTGCCACTTCCCGGAGTCTATACTTATAATAGCCTCCTTGTAGGTCTGAGGATCAATATCCTCAACATCCTCTCCTCTAATATGTCTCATATATCTCTCAAGAGGATGAGATACTCTATCAGACCTGCGTAAAGTTGAAAATTGTGTATTATGTACCTGAACAGACTTGGGCTGTAGAGTGGTGCTTGAGCTTGGTTCTCCAACCTAGCTCAATTCTATCATTCTCCCACTGTCTCCGCCAAGAATGTGTTCCTTCTCAAGGAACACTGCTCTCTTAGCTACAAAGACCTTTTGATCCTCGAGATGATAGAAATAATATCCACAAGTTTCCTTGGGGTGTCCCACAAATTTGCATCGCTCTGTCCTTGATTCTAACTTATCGGGGTTGTGTCTTTTAACATGGGCAGGGCAGCCCCAAATCTTAACAACCTTAAGATCAGGCTTCTTCCCTTTCCATATCTCATATGGTGTAGACACTACCGACTTAGTTGGAATTCTGTTCAGAAGGTAAGCTGCGGTTTCTAGGGCATATCCCCAGAATGAGATGGGTAGGTCAGCGAAACTCAACATGGACCGTACCATATCTAATAACGTACGATTTCTCCTTTCAGAGACACCGTTGAGTTGAGGTGTGTAAGGAGGTGTCCATTGGGATAATATCCCATGGTCCTTGAGGAACTAAGTAAACTCTATACTTAAGTACTCACCTCCTCGATCTGATCGAAGAGTTTTGATACTCTTTCCAGTCTGGTTCTCCACCTCATTCTTATACTCTCTGAATTTCTCAAAAGCCTCGGACTTGTACTTCATTAAGTACACATATCCATACCTTAAGAAATCATCAGTAAAGGTAATGAAGTAGGAGTAACCTCCAATGGCATGAGTTGACATGGGTCCACATACATCACTATGTATGAGTTCCAACAACTCAGTGGCTCTCTCTCTAGTTCCATTAAATGGAG